AAAGGATCGTCTGTCTCCTTTTAACTGAAAACTGTAATTTCTTGTGGGTGCAAGAGGTGGTGTTGACTTGATTCAGTGTCAATGGCTGTATGGGAGATTTCAGATACAGCATGATCGCAAGTATAATGACTTTAGGATAAGTGACTTCAAGGCACCCACGACTTTCTTTATTGGTGTTCAGTCTGATATTTGATGTGAAGTAAGAAAGAGTATTAACTTTGAATAGGTTCCAGCTAAAGACTATTTTCATTTTACATTACTTTTAATAGCAAAAGAAATTACACTCTTAAGCTTTTATTTCCTATCCCTGTCCTCCCATTCACTATCACTGTGTCGTGCCAATACAGCTGCTTTTTTCGGCAGTAGTATAAGCTGAGTCACTGAGATGACTTAGGCTTTAATAAAAGTTGTAGCTTATTTTTTAGTGCAAACCGTTTCCGTGATTGTCTCACAGACCCATAAGCAGCTGTATCCACCCAGCTGAATAAGCAGGGAACTGCAGTGTGGGAAGAGGAGTAAGTTTAGTTAGGAAGGTTTCCTGAGATAGCCGTATTGGTGTATTGTCAGTGTGTTGTTGAATTACACCCCTAGCATTTGGAAGAGAGATCAGTGTAAGCTGGCCTCCTTGTGTAAGTGCTGTCTGCATTGAGGACTGTGACCTCGTTAGCTGGGAAGCTGCTGCCTTCGTTGTGACTGCTGATAATGAATGGTGCTTGACACAAACTTGGAATTTTCGTTTTCTCTATACGAGAAATCACAACTTTATATGTACTACACATGCAAAGATAGGTAGATACAGTCTAGAGTATGGGCTAGATTCTGCCAATAGGAAGTAATTTTTGCTGGATCTGTAGGACTTCATCCCCCCACATACCCCCATTGCCATTTTTTTCCACCTGATCTTAAAACTTTCTTTTTCTGACTATGGGGAGACCAGTAGCCACAGCTTAAGAATCAACGTCATGTTCCCAGATTTTTTACTTCTCAGACTTTGGTCATGCTATCCCATTGCATGGGGATCCTACTGCTACTTGAGAAAAGTTGCTGTTTGTGTATTTAGCTGATTTTAATCTTCTCAGGAAAATCTCTCTTTGATTCCCACAAATAACAACTAACTATTTCCAGCTCATGGAGGAGTGTGTGGCTGTTTTCTGTCATTCTGGAGGCAGACAGTTGAGCCATAGGTCACCCAGGCTTAGAAACTCTTCTAAGTTGTGTGATGGACCTTTTTTTTACAAATCTTGCCTAGTAACTCCATGGAAGTCTGGTTGCGTTATCACGGTTGTACTAGGAATTGTGGTGTGAACTGTCTTCATTCAAACAGGCTTGAGGAATCTTGTTGCAGGTAATAACCAATACTCGTGAGTACCTCAAAAATGTGTTTACTGTATTTCCTCTCTTGTGTTTTGCTTTTCAGCTCATTGCTGTTAACGGACTGCTGCTTACTAGGTTCAGCAACTGTGTAGGGTCAGCCTTAATGGGTACAAAGAACATCTATTTCAACAGACATATTTTAATAATCCTTTAAGGCAGTAAAAAACTAGTTTTTCATTGGTTTTGACATTATTACTTTGATGCTAACTTTTAGCTACATCCTCATCATTGAATCAAAACTTCACAGGGGTTATCCTTAGTGTTTGCCTGAAACAAGGTGCTTTAAACAGATTAGGTTTAAGTGTTATTGCATAAGATTTCAAACCATCTCCACCTCCTGTCTTGTTATTTCACTGATTTGTACAAGGAGATAAAATAATAAAAAATAACCCTGCAAAAAGAAAAGTGGTTGGTTTTAGTTCCTTTAACTGATTCATTGCGGATTCAGGTGAGTGCTGTAAATGATGCTACAGAGAAGATAGGAATATCTGGAGTTCATTGGTCAGGATGCTGAAATTAGTAAAAGAACTGTACCATATAAACTGACAACTGTTCAGTGTCACCAAAAAAAGACTGGAAGAAAATGATCCACTGCTACAAACCAAGAAACTTTGTTTTTTCGTATCTTGATTCTGTAATTTATAAGTAGGTTGGAAGTTATTCTAACAGTCTCTGTCTGTACAGAGAAATTCCTTTTGAAGATAAATGTCCATTAGCCATGCTGATCCCCTCTTCAGTTTTAGGTTTGGAGTAACTCTGCGTGTTAAAATCATGTGCCCTATTTTGGTTTATACCTCATACCATGCTTTAGGTGTTTTACTCTGTTCCAATCCAAATAAGGAAAAAGTTAATATTATAGTGAGTTTTATGAGAATAGCTTCAGACTGGTATAACTAGAATGATTGCCTCTCCCTTGCTCAAAATGTCTGGTCTCTTTCCTAACTAATAATCTCTATCCTGTTGTGCTGCCAGAATGAAATAAGCACCTATATTGTTTAATCAGCCTCTTGAATGTGGAGCAGTCAGTGTCCAATGACTGATGACTGACACCTCATTAACTCCCATATAAAGTGCCTCATGGGAAAAATTAGAGAGATTAAATCAATGAATTAAGGAGTTTGTTGTCATTTATTCGCTTTTTATTTGAGCTACAGAATTTTAATAGAGTTAGCTATTTATTTTTCCTTACATTTCCTTCCTGCTAGCATAGGCCTTAGTAAGGCTTAAGCTGAATCAAGAAACCTCTTTGTAAATCAGCGTCATGCTACAAACAATTTAGTCAGTTTTGATATGACACTGATAGATTTAAAACTGTCTCTGTGCTACTTTGTTCTGCTGCCTTCCCCATGGGAAACCTCCCATGTTTATCTTGGTGGGAGGCTAATTTTCTATCCACCCTGAAACTCAGGTCCAGGCGTCCTAGTTGGCAGAGTGGGTTTTTAATCTGGCAGTGCAATCCTGCTAAACTGCAGAGTAGCGTAAGAGTTAGCTCTTGGCTTTGGGCTGGGAGCCCAAAGCCTGCATGAGCATTTCCCAGTACTTGGGACACAAACACAATGCAGGGCAGCAGCATGTGTGTCACTGCAGCCACTGGCCTGCCAAGCACAGCGTTCCGTGTGGGGCAGATGACGTACATGCCCCTCTCTCTCTCTTTTGTTTCCAGTTGCCTCGGCTCCCAGCTGTGCTGGAGGGATTTGCCTCAAGAAGTCAGTCACGTTCTTCTTTAGAGAATCTATTAATGCAAACATTCTGGAGCATTTCACAAAGCAGATATCTTACCATGTAATACTTAAACTGAAATCAAATGACGTGACTTGCACTGAAACTCTCTTCTCTGTTGCCTAAAATAGACCATCAAAGTTAAAAATACATACACAAGACTCTGTGTTAATTTTACAGTAAAGCAAAGGCTCTGTCTTTGTGTAGCTGGTTGGACAGTTCAACAGGCAAGGTACATGATACAGTAAACCATGTCATGACATCAAAAAATTAAGATTGCAGGTGCACAGCAAAGTGCACTGGAAAGTGCAGTTTGTTCAAAAGCCCGGTTAGAGCTGAACACAGAGATCCCCTGGAGACATACCAAATTAATACTGATTTAGAGGTATGCTTTCTGCTAGAAAACTATTAACTTATGTAATCTTAAGTCAATCTCTAAAGCTTAAAAATAGCCTAACACTGTTGCAACTGACCAAAAGTCAGCAATGATAAATTTGGTCAGAAGAATGTATATTTAAAAAACTGTATTGTTCTTTTAAAAAAACCAACCAACCAACCAAAAAAAAAACCCCAAAAAACCCAAAAAACCTCACCACCATATCCTGGTTACTCTTAGAAGCCAAATAATTCTATTCTGAAGATTTTTGTTTGTTGTCACAATTTTTCACCAAATATTTTTATAAGAAAAAACTGATATTCTTCTTAATGTAAATATATTTACTTTTAATAGAAAAAGGGCTTTTCATAAGCTTTTTAAAAGGGACCAGTACTAGTAAAGTTTAATCTTGTCCATGTCCATGAGTGGTTTCAAATATACATTGTTGTTTCTGTATTATATCCTCTAATCCTCTCAGCTCCCACAGAAATTGGACATGATCTAGCAGGCAGAAGGCATTAAGTGTAGGTGTAGTTCTGTGAATTCAGTGTAAGAACATAGACAAGCCAAATTTTTTTTGGCAGAATGAGGCTTTGCTGGATCAGAATAGGTCACAGGATCTAACAAAGAACAGCTGAAGTTTAGATTTCACCAGCTGGTTCTAAATTTGATTTTGTTAAACCACAGCAAATCCAAAATGGAAAAGAATACTAAAGCTCTTCTTGAGCTATAGGGAGCACTTTAAAGCTTAAGCACAATTGATTCATAGGGGCTCCTGAAGTTCTGAGTTATATTAATGATATATTGTCATGAAGGTAAGTGAGGATGAGAAGGAGGTGATCATATACAGCAGTTTGGGTCACACAGTAGCTTAGAGCCTTTCATGCAGGGCGTTAGGCACAGTTAGTTACAAACCAGTAGGTAGCAAAAGATGAGTAATGAAGGTAATTTTTACAGAGTGGAGTGTATCAGTGACTCTGAGAACTGCTGAGGCTTCAGAGACAACAAGCAGCTCAGGTCTTGTCAGTTGGATGCTCTAGATTAGCATGAGATCTCAACAAGCTTGCCTCCATAACAGGGTAATTGGGTTTAAAATATCTCTGTGCACCAGTACAGAATACATCCTTGCTCATTCAGTGTGCTCCTACATTTTGTGGATGCTGGAGAAATAGAAGGGTGCAGTGTCTGTCAGAGAGCTAAGTCAGCATCTTAATGTGAGGAGAATCAGGGACTCAGCCTAGTTATTAAGAAAGAATAGGTGACTTAATTCTTAAGTAAGCATATAAATAGAAAAATTATTAAAAGCCTTTTCCTCTGGAAGCTAAAGTCATAGGATCAGATCACCAGAAGATAAAACCAGAAAATGTAAAATTAAAAGTTAACAATATTCTTTCAGTTCTGCGCAGGATTCTCCCACAAAGGTGAGTTATCAGGGATGATATCTAAGTAAGGACTTATGGTAGGCATCCACAGGGAGAAGCAGGGCACAAGCTGAAAATTTACATGACATATTCTTTGTGCCAATTGACAGGGGAAAAGCCACAACACTGCACTTCAGCCAGAAGATTTGGAGTCGAAGGTTTCTGAAATCAGCGGAGACTGCTTGAGAACAGCACGTGGTAAAATCACAGTTACTTCTGTTCTTTTTCTGGATGAAACAAATGATCTTGAGTTACTTGATTAAGTGGATGAAATGTATTAGCCTCAGATGTGCAAATGGTACTGGATGTTCTGATTTTTCCTTTTGTCCTTGAATTCTGTGTCTGCAAATTACTTGGGGTTTGCTTGTGTAATATGAAGTACGATAAGTGGAGTGGTTGGATAGAGCGCTACTGTGAGTATCCCATTAGAAACTTAAGCTTTGGAAAAACTACTGCTTCCATAAAACTCATATTAGCCTAGAGTTATAGAATATTTCTGTATCATGTTCTTACCAAAAATGTATATAATGTTTGAACTAAGTTTTAAATGGAACGTTAGTCCAGAAAATTGATTTCCAGTGTTTTAAATTAAACTGTGGGGCAGGTACATAATTTAAGTATGAGAATAAACAACCTAGATGTTAGTAAATATCCACTAGGTTTTGTGTTTAATGAAAAGAGACACAAGAGTTGAAAGACTTCAGTGGAAGCACTTGCAAAAACACTTCAGAGTTTGTTAAGAAGCAGACTTCGGATCAAGTCCACTTAAAAAAAAATAGTTGCAAGTACATTTTATTTAATATAATGAAACTCCCTGTAGCCTTCAACTAGATGTGTTAGTTCACTGTTTGCGGTTTTTTTTTCTTTCAGGTAAACACAGTGCTACATCTCTATATGTAGGTAATGTCTTTCTAAGTGTTTTCCTCAGGTTTATGGATTGAAAGCAAACAAGAAAATCCTGAAAAGCCAACTGAAAACCTTGCATTTTTTTAGAAACTAGCATCACCAGAAAAAAAAGTTATTTTTTTGCAATAATCTGTTCTCAAAAAGCTGTGCATGTTTGCTTGGCATTTTCATTTTGATGTAAATATGTATAAATTTGTGGGGTTTCTGAGAATTTTGTTCCTTGAATAGAAGAAACAAACCTGGGTTTATAACTTAAATTGTATATGTGAGAAATAAGATATTGCAATTAAAAAAACCCAAACAAACATTTGCTTTTAAAATTGCAGAAGATTTTTGAAGGAGTTGAAATGCTGAGTTGATAAATATCTGGGCTAAAGCCAATCTTTGTAAGACAATACCAGATCTGAGAACCACAAAACCAAGAGTGTTTTAGACACAGTGACAGAAAGCCAGGCTGCTAATACAAAATATACTACTTACAGATCTGACAACAGTGCCCCAAATTGCTAACACACAGCAACACACAGAGTCGGGTTTCAACATTGTTCTTCATTTCATAAAAGTGTACAGATTTCAGTAGATGTTTAACTTTTCTCCAGCATTGATTTGCACAGTTATAAATCACTTGCAGTTTGTTTTTTTTACAAGGTTTTACTCAAGATTTCCTTTTAAAAATGATCTGGTGAGTTCCCAAGCCATCTACTAATGTTGGGTAATGGGGAATCTCCATCACATAATTGTGTGGAAGTGGTATAATAGCGAGCATGTAATTATAAAATATCTTCGTTTTCAGATATTATAAGATGACTCAAGAATGTTGTGTATATAAAAGCTGTATTAAAAGGGAGGTTAGAAGAAAAAGATGCAGACAGCTATGCATTGGCCAGAGTAATTTAGAAAATGTGTAGAACTTTATAACAGTTCTTTTAAGCTGAAGACAAATACAAAATAAAGGGAAAGTAGAACACAATGCTGAAGGCATTTAAGCTAGACTAATTGATACCTGTCTATGTAGAAGTGCAGTAAATCTCATCTAACTTCAGTAAACATCTTTTCTGTACAGACAGGAAACTGGGATTGAAAAGCTGGATTTAGAAAAGGTTTTGTAGGGCTGTACCTCAGCAGATAATAACACCAGCAGTGAAAGGAAAGCTCTTGTATAGGAGAGGGTTGGCTCTGAAATTCCTCAGGATGAGTCTTGGGTCTGAATCCTTAATACTTATTTGAATCAACAAGTATTTGGATAACAAAAATTGCTGTTTCAGCCAGAAGCTCATTAGTTGGAAACGCAGGCAAATTACTTTGGCAAGTACAATTCTAGGAGCATTGGCCGAATGTAGCTGAATTATTTCTAGCAGAATTAGAGAACTGTTAATGATGTTACTCAAAGTTTTAGTGAGCTCATCAAAGTAATTTGTAAAGTTCTACTGATTCATATTCAAACAACATGAATTAAAATTGGAGGAGGTACAAAGAAAGGTTCTATTCTTATTATTTTAGTAGCTTTTCTTACAAGAAGATATCACAAAAGTCTGAGCAAGGAATGAAATCATAGAATGGTTTGTGTGGGAAGGGGCATTTAAAGATCACCACATTCCATCCCTCTTTACCATGGGCAGGACGTTAAAGCTCCATCCATCCGTCTGCTCTTTGAGAGGGTATATTGTATCTCTCCATAACATTGTACAGTGCAGAAAAAATGCCAGGAGGAGGCTGTAACACTAAGGACAGAGAGGAAAAGAAAATGATCTGATCTGAGCCACAAACAAGTAATTGTAAAATAGAGAATAAACTTTAGTGGGAAATTGGAAGATAATTCTTTTCCATTTAAGCAATTAGAGACCAGATCATCTCCCAGTAACAACAGTCAGAGCCAAAGAAGCAGCTACTTTAAAAATGTATCTAGATTAGCTAATTAAGAGGCTTATGCAATATGGTTATTCATACTAGCAGGTGGCTTGGCTGAATCCAGTGGTTTTGTCCAGCCGCTGCTCCCAGTTGTTGTCTCTGTAAGGATGGATCTGTAGAGAAGTCTGTGGATGACAGATGGCTGATATATTGCAGATCTGCCTTAACTCAAAAATGATTTTTTGAAGACTGAATCATGATGCCAGTGTCAGCTCTTTGGAATTGTCAGCTATTATTTTGGTTGCCTGCAGCACATACTTTCATTGAAGGTCTAGGCAGTGGTCAGAACTGATTTTTGTATGCAGGGGTATTAAATTTTCTCACTTAGGAGCTTTTGGCGTATCAGTGAGGAATATGAAAGGCTTAATTATGCCTCTGTGAAGCTGAAGTGCTGCCTGTGGTGGGAAGAAAATGCTTTATGGCAGCTGGGGAGGCTGTGATACCCTCAAGCACTGTGGTTACAATGGCTGGGCAGCACCAAGCTGACCTACAATAGCCGGACAGGTCTGGCCAATGTTCCTCCTGCTTTCCTGACTGTCCTTCCCAATGTGTGCAAGTGAAGGGGTTTTCTTGGGATAAAATGTCAGGAGAGGGAAAAGGCAGAGGGGTGTAATCCCACCCTTCAGATGCCTCTTCATAGTCACTGTTGCCCATGCTAGTGGTAACTGTTGCTGAGTTTATAAAGCCCTATTTTATTGACCTCTTGCTTAGGTTAGTACAGGTTACCACACTGGTAAGTGGGGCAATTGCCTTGAACTTGCACTTTTCTTTCTATGCACTGTTGCTTTTCTTTTATGTGTTAACCCCTGCTAAAGGTTTTGGGAACTTTGCTTAGAGAATGTGCCTCTTTAACTGCAAAACTAAATAGAGAACTGCAAAGGAAAAATGTTATATGTGTTACTGTAGCCCAGCTCAGTACAGTGGAGATAAGCTTTTTACATTGTTCTCTTAGTTTCTTCCCCCATTTTTTTATCAGGCATCCAGTAACATTCCTGACTGTGTCCAATGCCAGGGAAATCTGCAATGTGCACTCAAGTAGGAGTAGCAATTACAGAAACACTCCTGGTGTTTATGCACTTCCCACAGAGCTCTTGGATCCCTTGTGTAATAATCTTTTTCAATAAAGAAAACTGTATAAACATTAATCATAAAACATAGCAGTATCCTATATTTTGGTGGGTCAGGCAGCTTGCCTGGCTTCTTCAGAATCCAGTTTGACATTTTTTTGGCATTGGGAAGTCCAGGAAGTGTTGGATTGGGTGAGTGTACTGTATCTACCTGGGGTGGAGCTAACTTCCCACACAGCAGCCTCTCAGTGCTGTGCTGTGTGTTGGGATCCAGAAAGGTGCTGGTAACACACCAGTGTTTTGGGCACTGCTGGGCAGGCTCGCACAGCATCAAGGCCGTGTCTGCAACATTCCTCCTCAAGGGCCAGTACAATGGGGGTGGGCAAGATATGGAGAGAGGACACAGCCAGGGCAGCTGAGCCAAGCTAACCAGAGAGACATTCCATACCAGGGTGTCTGCTTGGCAATAAAAGCTAAGGGAAAGGAGGAGAAGAAGGAGCAGCAATTATTAAGGCATTTGTGTTCCAGAGTAACCTCTAAGCATAGTGAGGACCTGCTTCCTAGGATGTAACTGGACATCAACTGCTGATAGGAAGTAGAGAATTAATCTTTTTGTTTTCTTTTGCTTCTGTGTGCAGCCTTTGCTTTTGCTTTACTGAACTCCTGAAGCTACTGGCTTATTTTAACTAGAAAGCCTGGTGAGAATACATCCATATGCATTTTATTCAAGTAGCTGAACTGTTTTTTCTCTGTTGTGTCCATTCATGAACTCTTAGAGAAGTGTAGCCTAGCACAGTTTGAATTTAGAGTGACCAGTCATGCCACTGACTATAGGCTATGTTTGATGCTGTGGCTGAGTTCAGCTGGCAAATGCTTCTGTAAAAGGGGAGTTCCTGTTCACCCACTCCTCCTTTCACTTCTTTAATCCTATGTACCTGTGAGCACTATCACCTTAGCATTGTCTTTGGTGCTCACTGTACCTCTTATGAAGCTGATTTAACTTGCTAACCTGACAGAAGGTCTTTGTCAGGGTAGTTTGTCTGTGTGGATCTCAGCTGGCACATGGAGAAGTGGGAGGATATGTCTCAGCTGCCACATGGACAAGTGGGAGGACATGACCAGGAGCAAGGAGTGTGAGGGAGGTGAAGCCTCCGCACTTCATTGGTCCACTCTTCCATGTTGTCAAGGTGCCTCAGCTGTAGTTTCAAACACAAAATATGCTGCCCAGCAAGAAACTAGTTGGAGACAAAGGTCTGTCATGGTGTCAGAGAGGTACGTGTTCATAATGTGTGTCAGGGCACAGCCCACGTTGCCCAGTTAAACCTGGTGAAGGTAGTCAGGTTCAGCCATGACTCCAGACAGCCAGACAAGTCGATAGGGATGAGGTAGATTGAGGATCAGGCCAGGAGCTCAGTTCAAGGCTCAGCTCAGGGTCCGGATGAGTGGGGTGTCTGGCCAGCACAGGCATGGCTGCAGCACAGCTCAGGTGGGGCCAGTATGAAGCCCTTGGCTTAAAAGCCACTGCAGAACGAAATGGGGGAGAGCACTCACAGGTGGTTCCTAGCAGACCTTTCTGGAAGAGCTGTTTTCAAGGCTGGACACTTGCACCATTATTGAAGCTGATCCTGAAATTAGGCACCCAAAACCCCTGCCAGTGGGAAGGTAGAAAGGGAGAGCTCAGAGCTCTGGAAGCTTTCAGAGAACATGTGTTAGGTCAGATCTGGAACTGCAGTGAAGTAACAAATATTTTGATGGGATGGGGGGCAGAGTGTGCAATACATTTTATCCCCCAGTACTTACAGTATCTGATTTTTCCATTATCCGTAGTGTAGATAGAGGCTCAAATAGTACAATAACTAAACACCATTTAATTTCTCCAGAAACAAAATAATTGGTGTGTTTGGAAAAAGATAGTCACTTTCTTACCGTTGGATTTACCCATAGCATTTATGGTATCTTCTTTCACACCGAGTAAACAGAAAATTCCCATAGATGAGCTGCACTGTGCATTCACAGTAT